CTGTATACAAAATAGTCAAATACAGGCCATACATACTGCGGGTGATAGAATAATACAACTTAAAATATACATCCAGATATTACAAAATAAAAAATAAAATAAAAAAATATATATTATAATAATAATAAAAACTAAAAAACAGCTAGTAACATGCACAGGGAATGGTAAGATATCTAGATAATTCCAATTTAAATAAGCCAAAGGAGGTTAAGCATCTTATGTATGTGGGTAACTTATTCCGATCAGATGGAGCCTTGTATGAGAAAGCTCTACTTCCAACATAGGGAGTTAGTGCTTCTTAGTGAATAGGTTGGTGAATTGGGGACAAAAAACAATTATAAATATTGAGGACAGTTAAAATAAATACATTTGAAAATGAACTTCATCCAATGAAAGTGACGTCTGTGGTTAGGTTGCAACAAGTTCAGTTTTTCAAATAAAGTGCAGTGATGTGTTCGATAAGGACATTTAAGGATGAATCTGCAAAGACAGTTGAAGAGTGTATTTAAAGGTTTGATGTATGAGTCATATGTGTTTTGGTAGATGGTGTCAGAATAATCTATGATGGGTAGAACTAATTGTGTTTAAGGGTGAGAGCGCCCTCGCCGTTACTCCCTAAGTATTTGGACACCCTACACCCACTGTGGGCATGCACAAAATCTAGGGCAAGGGTACATATTAAGGCCTCGGGTGAGAATTGGAGCAGGCCTTAAAACACATGCCAACTCTCCCCACTGTCTAGATGTTACTTATTCCATCTCGGGACCCATTGTTTTTTTGAACTTGGACCACTTCCTTTTAAAACAGTTCACACGCTCCATCGTGTTGCTGCTGTAAAACTGTACAACCCAATGTTATTTTTTTCTTTTTTCCCAAGGACACCTTCACTTTGCCAACGTAGAAAAAGTCACATGACGCATAGGTCTTTTATGTTGCTGGGCCTGAGGGACCCCAAGACTGGAAGGTCTCACCCGCCCTCAGTCCCGCCCGCAATCCCTGCCCATTTTAATAAACAATGGAGCTCGCAGCAGACGAGGCATACCACTGGCCGCCCTCCTGTAATACTGGCTTTATTCGTTTTGATATATTTCTCCCTCCTGAGTCTCGTTTGGGGCAGCGTAACAGCCAGAATGTGACCTTCAAATCCCGGCTCTAATCAGGGGTTTGTTCCCGAAGAGGCAGAGGCGAATCCGGCTGCACGAAGCGGGGGAAAAATTCATGTCGAAAAAGCTGTCGCAGATGAATTATGCATTTGTTTAGATGTGAATGAATGAATGAACAATGAGGCGGATTGGAGTTGGATCGATGGAGGATGGTAAAAAAGAGTGGGTGTGTTGCTAAGTGTAGGTCTAATTATGACATGGGAAAACACTGTATGGTTTGGCGGAGTTTTATGAATGGAATTTTGAAACCGTTCCGGCTGTCTTGTCTGTTCAACATGGAATGATAAGCAGTATTTTGGTTCACTAAGAGGTCATGCTGTTTAAACTATATATGTCCCAGCTTGAGTTTACAGTTTACTTACACATACAAACAATACAAATTATAATTGTATACATGAAGACATTTGAAGATCGGTGTCAATACAGCACTTATATTGAGGTACACATTGTGAAGACAAATAGGTCACTTTCTCTATAGTCCCAAAATCACATTTATGTTGTGGAGTATAAAGAAATATTTTGCATTACATTTTGGCTGTTTAGGAAGTTTCATCTTGTCTTCATAGTAGAAATGAAAGTATTTGGTTGTTCTATACCAGACAGTATTAAGTTAGCAGCAGTGTTGGGTAGAATACTTTGAAAACTTACTCCATTCAAAAATACTGAATACATGACCTAAAATATATTTTAGTGATTATATTTATTGTAATGTTTATTTACAAAACTTATAAAAGGTAAATTTCAAAATATTTAAAACCGTAATCTCAAAAAGTGTTTAAATAAAGAAACCCTGCTCTGTAAATATTTGATCATTTGCTGTTTGTTGTTCAAAGTGCTTCAACAGCTGCCATTTAACAACCAAAAAAACAGAATCTTCACTCGAAGAACCCTCAATGTTTTCTTTTTTTCTTTCTTTTTTAACCTTAAAACGTTCTGTGAGAAGGAATGTATTCCCATGATTTTCAGAAAGAAACTGCATTCTAAGTACAAGACTTTAAAGTAGTAAGTGTAATGGAATACAGTTACTCAGAAAGAGTAATCTGAATACTTACTCAGGCCTGTCGCAAGGGGGGTGCGAGGCCCTGTGCGAAACTTGAAATGTGAGGCCACCGCCCTGACCCTTTTTTTCCCAGCGCTGAGAAAGTTTTCCTGTTATATTCTTTGACAAAATTCAGCGCCGTCCCCCCCCCCCTCGCGCGTGATTTCCACAAATTATTGGACAAACCCTGCATAAGGTCTTTGAGCTAGTAGAGACGCTACTGCCCATCACTAACAAATACATTGATCTTTCTAAAAGGCTTACAATAGTAATAATAAAGTGCAACAGCTCCTGGGTTTGGACCATTTTCTCTGCTCTAGTCCAGAGAAATATGCTAATGCATTTGCATTTAAAAACAAGTTAGCCTTCCTCCGGTGGATTTTCACCTGATCCGCTTGGTTCGGACCATGACTCCTCTCTGCTCCGGCCTCGACCAGTGCAAAACCATAGGGATGTGGAACCAGTATGTAGTTCTTACAGTATTGTATACTTTCTTCTTTGTTATGCTTAAGTCAGAGATTTTGGTACTTAATCCTTTATTATGCTAAAGCATAGATTATACACTTGCTTCTATGCTACTACTTTCACAATGGTGAACGCAAGAGTGAGTGACGGACACGTCAATATATTTTTTTTATACTGTTTTTGCTCGAGGACAGATGTTTCGTTTTTATTTTGATTTTTGAACCACAATTTGATCCTGAATGTGCATGAAAAGTGTTTACATTTTGCACAAGGATCAGTTCCGGCAATATATATATGGTTTTGCAGGTTTTTGTCCTAAAAATAAAAAATTGATGCAACATTGCCACCAATTAGATTTTGACCATTTTTGTATTTAAAATGTCCTTGAGCTACAATCATTGTGTGCACATACTGTATGAGGTTGTTCAAAGTGGGACAAAGTGCGTGAAATGCATCAAACACATCACCTGCGGCTGTCAAGTCCATGCAAACTTTGCTCTCTTTGCCTTTATCATATTGGGGCCTTTAGAGATTACTTATTGGCAATGCCATTTGTTTTATATACATTCCTCAATAATGTGACCTTTTAGAAAAATAAAATTGATAGTTGTTTTGACTCTCAATCCACTGCTGTAATAATGGTTCATACCTTCATCTCCTCCAGACTGGACTCCTGCAACAACCTCCTCTTCGGTCTCCCTTCCACTCATCTTCAAAAACTATAATACAGTACATCCAGAACTCTACCACCCTGCCTGCTCACCCACACCTGCTCCAGAGACGTCCTCAAACCACTCCCTCTGGCTCCCTGTCCCATACCGCATCCAGTTCTCCTTCTCACCTGCAAATCCCTCCACAACCTGGCCCATACCTCACTCCTCCTCCATCATCACTGTCCTACTCACCGCTTCAGATCCACAGACTCCAAACCTCTTCACTCCCCTCAAGACTAAACACCGAACCTTGGGGGGGCCGAGCCTTCCTGCAGCTGCCCCCACTCTCTGGAACTCACTCCCTCAACCCATCAGAAACTCAGACTCACAACAGAACTTTAAATGTCTTCTCAAAACCCAGCTATTTCAGCCTTTGCTTAATTTTTTTTCTCAATGTTTATTATAAATGTAAAGCGTCTTCCAGTGTCCAAAAAAGTATAGCTATTATTAATTTACCTTGTGCTGTGTGCTCCTCATTCCTACTGTTCTGTAACTTGTGATGCAACCCTGGAATTTACAAGCTATGGGACAAAAAAAAGGATCTCTTCATCTTTCTCTTAATCTTCTTCTGAAGTTAATTTCTTCTCTGTAGCACGACAAGTTTCAGTAACAGCCAGATGCTCACGTGTGGCTCCTGGTTCTACAAAAGTGTGTTTGTGCAGAGAAAAAGCATTGTCTAATGTGTTTTGATCTTGTTTTAAGACTGTCAGATAAAAACACCCGATTCAAGCATTCATTACCTCATAATTTATCATTTTTCGCAACATTCATTCACAGAGAAATGAATAGCTGTCAAAAGCTTAAATGTTGTCTTTTCTGTAATTTACTGTGCGTTATATTGTGTGGCCTAATCTATTGGGTTTCTTGAAAGGCATCATGAAATAAAATGTATCATTATTATCATTCAAAGTATCGAGAATCAGATATTAGTCAATACTTAAACTAGTTACTCATTTGAAAACATATAGATCTTGAACATAATAAAACAGTAAACACATGAGACTCTTAGAGCAGTTTTAAATATATATAAAACGTTACCATTAAAAGTACCACAATTTTGCAATTTTCACTTATTTTTTTCCAGGAGGGTCAAAGGGTAATTATAATGATACACACAAACACAACAAAATGGAAATACAGTTTCTAACATTTTATTGAACATAAAGTAAGTGTCAGTCACAAACAAGTAAGTCTGTCAATATGGACAAAACATTATATCATATGAAAACACGAAGGCAAAAAGGCACATTTTTAAATGTTTAACTCAATAAACCCAAATAGACCAAATCAAATATTCAGCACAAACTCAACAACAATGAAAATGCTATATTACATACGCAGATAATTGAACTCTGAAACTACACTGGAAATTCTGGAAAAAATCCCCAAAAACTTTCTTTAGTTTAAAAGTGATATATTCACCAGCTAAAACTGGTGACTAGATCTGCAATACAGAAAAAAGCCTGTCTCCAAACTGTAGACAGGGTAACACATACTAACTGCAGGTAAACAGTGTATTGTATTGCTATGGTAACTAGCACCGGCTCCACTGGCCCAGTCCAGGCCAATTACAGGACTACTCCAGGATCACTCTAGGACCAGTCCAGGACCAGTCCACACTCACACAGACGCGGTGGAGTCCGTGTGGCAGTCGAAGAAATCATCCATGGTCTGAAAAAACACACAACATGAGATTGAATGAAAACACTTGAACCCAGAGGTCCTGAACTTTACAAAGGGGTTTTTACATGGCCACATGGGTGGAGCTGGAGTTAGCTGGATGATAATAAAGTCACTACTGCCCATCATAACGTCACTTTACTTTCATTTTTCATACCTTAGAAGTGTATGCTTTTTTATCATGCCATTCTCTACTCTTTACCTCTCTTCTTTGTATGTTGCACCCCCGCGTTTGGTCTGAACGCACCATTAGTCTGTGACTTCCTGTTACTTACATCGCAATAAAAATGGTTCTGATTCTGACGCTATGTGTTTATGGTGTCAAAGACTGGTTTGACGTAGGATTCTAATTACAATGATCTCTCATCTTCATTTTCGCAGTGAACAATAATATTTAATTCCAAATATAATTCCGATATTGTTGTCTAGATTGAGATGTTGCAGATTTAACAAAATGGGATAGAATGCTCTACTCTGCATCTGGTCCAGATGGCTCCAGGGCGCCTCCTACAGGGAGACCCACAGGGAACAGGGACTCTGTTTCTCAGATGGGAACGCCTCAGGATTCCCCTGGATGAGCTGGAGGATGTGTGTGTGTGTGTGTGCCCATGTATGTATGTGTGTGTAGGGGAGCCGCAGTGTGTACATCAGGGCAGATGCCGTAGTCTGTGTGTGTGAGAGCGTGCACGTTGTAGACCTGTGTGTGCGTGTGTATGTGTGTGTGTGTGTACCTCGGGGCAGATGTCGAGGTTCAGGTCCAGTTGCAGGTCCCTGTAGAACTCCATGCCCCACTGTGGGAACAGGTCCAAGACTCTCTGCAGAGCTTCCAGACTCAGAGAGTGGACGCTGCAGTCGCCCACAACTTGCAGCGTCTCATGTGAAACGCCTCTTCATCTGCCAGGTTCCAAACTGCGCTCCTGGGCCTGAAACGTTCACCTTTCATTTGCATTTGATTCAATCCAATCAAGATAAAAACCAGTTTGAGGACACTCCACATTCACCCACATTTAGGGACATTGGTCTCTGCTCCTTTTGGACCCAAGTGTTTTTTACCATTACATTTCCTGTGTTTGAACTGTTTGATTTTCTGATCTGTGTTGGAGAATCTGAATTGACCCAAGAACAAACCTAGTTGTTTTCCATTGTGTTGCTGCAGCGCTCCGCTGCTGACCATGTGGAGAGCATGCACCACCTCGCCCTTGTGAATGAACACGTCTCCGTGGCGATGGGTGAAGACGCTCACGTGAAGGGCCAGCTCCTTCTTCACTGTGGCGTTGCCACGCTTGAACAGGGGCCGGTCCAGGATTTGGCGAAACAGGTGGAGGTGGATTTTGGTGTAGATGTAATTCATGGTGTAGCATGTAATTCATTACATTTAATTGTATACAAAACAGAAAAAAAAAGCTGTTTTAGGCAATATCAAGTACCTGTCTTGATGGTAGAGATCAATGTTGAGCCTATTTTGTCCTATGCGTTTCTTTTTACCTTGTTATTTGTGTCTGGTTGGATTGTAACACACTTTTATATGTTTTCACATCTCCACACGAGTCGGGCCGAAATCCTATCCTTACAGCTTAAGTGGAAAACTGTAATTCGGAAACGGCCGCTAAAAATATCTTCTTCAAAACTTCTGAGCTGGAGGCGAAACTTGCCTTGAAGACCGGCTTAATAGTTCAAGGATGAATTATAGCTTACCGGGTTTGAGATGGGAGCATTTAGACTGTGGGATCTTTATATATGAATATTTTCTTCCCCCAGACAACCAGAGATAATGAATGTAAAATGATCACTCTGTATAAGTATATAAAAAGGTTTAATATATGTAAGACAGAGACAAAGTCCATAAGTACAGCCATACAAGCCGAGCCTTCGAAGCTAATGTGACAAAGGTTGCAGAAGTTACTGAAATAATTCTAATCATCAGTAATTATCACAGATACAGATCTAAAGCAGAGGGGAGCAAAGTTCATACCTCGGTTAGATACAATTAATACAAATTAGTGAGCAAAGTGAGTATAATCTAATTATTATGATTACCTGCGCAGTTAATTATTATCTACAGGAGATTCATGAGATAAATGTTTTAATTGTCTTTCTAGTGTGTATAATCAATGCAATGAGAAATATAATCATTAGAATGAGAAAATTCTGACAAATCTCAGCACCCCTGGACTGATAAAACTAGTCATTGCCTAGTTGACAACTAAAGTGCCGAACAAAGCCAGAAAATAAACATTAAATTTAACATAAGCTTGTACAGTCTCACATAATTGCACTACTGGTCACACGCTAAACTGCATTTCTCCGCATTGTTCTGACTTTGTAATGACAATACAGTTGGCTAATCTAATCTAAGGCATAATTCATCATATCGATAATACATATTAAAATCACACAGGGCATTAAAAACAGATCATATGGAACACAAACATTAAATTCACACAGAAAATTACACAAAATATTAAAAAAAATAATTAACCACAGTGCATAAAAAAAAAACGTCCCAAGATTGTGGGATGGTTCATATGGCACTAACCCGTCACAGATGTACTTTGGGGCGAGGCCATGGAGAGACTTGATCATGAGACTATTGGTAGAATAATCATCAGTGACAGCCCTCTAAAGAACGGATTGAGAAATTAGTGACAAAACAATGAAGACTCGCCGACAGCAAAGATCCTTCCACCTCAAAAACCCCACGACCACAAATGAACACGGATATTCACTTGTTTGTTGGCTCTGTTTTGGCGGATTGGGAGCTTTGTGTTCACCTTCAAAGCTTCAGAGAGCTGTAAACAGGAGTATTTACAGGCTGCATGAGTGCGCGTGTGAAAGACGGCGGACATTAGCATTTCAAAAGTGACACTGCGGCGTTAGCTTATCTGCAGCTAATTGAAGGAGAGGTGGCATCAAAGACCAATGAGGAGTTTTTGATCTAGCAACTATTTAGAGCTTGAAATGATCCGTGCCGATTATATTCTCAATAAAGGTGTTTGAAGAGAGGCTTAAGGCCGGCTGGAACTCAGATGCGATTAGCTGTCGGTGGCAAAGAGGCGATGGTCCGGAAAGCTAAAAGCGGCGGCCATGATGTGTGAGAGCGAGTGAAGAAGGAAATGGTAAACCTGGAATACATTTATTACGTCATTTCAAATCAGCAGGTGGTTAAGTGGTTACTACTCTAGCTCAGCAAGAAGGTCATCTGTTCAAATCCCAGTCCAAACAGGGCATTTCTGAGTGGAGTTTGCGTGATCTCCCCGTGTCTGGCTAGGTTTCCTTATGGTGCTCCGGTTTCCCTGACCACTAAAAAACAGCTAGAGATGGGCCCCGGGCGCTGTACTACGGCCGCCACTGCTCGTGACAGAGGCCCTGGTGCTGGGGTGTCAAACTCATTTTGGTTGGGGGTCCAACTTCAAAAACTGTTTGGGGCCAAACGTAAACTGTTTTACTTATACTATTATCATTTTCTATTTCACAAAAATGTGCCTTTTGACCAATTTTAGTTTGACATGAAGTTTGTATTAAATATATATTGTTTAGCCTACCTTAATTTCTAATTACATGTTATTTAAAGGTATATTAGAACATTTTCACAATTAGGAAAGAACTGCCCTCTCAAATGTTTTAACAAAACCCTGTTTTTATTTATTTATATATATATATATATATATATATATATATATATATATATATATATGCACATATCACCAGAAGGATTGGCAATTGGGAAAATAGCCTTGGTGATGAATAATATGGTTAAAATAAGTACTCCATTACCATTACAAAGCTGAAATTTACTGCAATTATCTTTCCATCCCTCTTCCTCCCCTTAATCCATCTCTGGGTTGGGGGGGTGGCAGTCAGAGCTACACCCAATACACAGAGCACCATATATAGAAGATAGTTTTTATTTATAAGCCATGTTTTCACAGTGGCACAGGGGTTAGCGCTTGTGCTTCAAAGCTGGGTTCGATTCCACCTCCAGACCTTTCTGTATGGTGTTTGCACGTTCCCCCTGTGTCTACGTAGGTTTGTGCATATTCAACATCATATAAAACATCATGTAACCATTAATATAACATGACCTTTATGTAAAGTCAGAAGAAAACTTTTGTGTCTTGTGTGTGATCAGTTGTGAGATTGGTTTGGAGGACTACCGCGGTCCAGCCCTCAAGCCTGCACCGGTATTTTACAGTGTATGGATGACTTTTGACAGCTGCAGCCCTTAGACCTACATCACACTTCAGCAGTCGTGAGTTCAGGTGGTTAGGAAAGTACGTACAGAGTGTGGCGTTACAGCCCTGAAACATAGAGCTAATGCGAATTTCACTTATTTCAGGTTATTTTTAGAATCTCACACTGCTAGAAATTATTAACTATAAACTATTGTAATGCAAGACATTTTACATATTTCACTTTATAGCAATGGTGCAACTGGGTGGCTTTTATGCAAGGTTAGAAGGCTGTCTGAAAGTTCCAAGTTTCATTTCATATCCTAGTCAAAGTTAATACTAATCACACTTTTCACCTCCTTTTTTTATACACCTTGAGTTTCCTGTTGCTTTTTAAAGTCTGATTTTGACTTTCTTCAGAAGTGGGACAGTCTCCAAAAACGAGGACAGCCGCTCAGTATGCAGCAGCAGCCCAATTTGGAAACACTTGATACGGAAGAAACTCAGATGTGACAATGTTTTCACAATTCCATTCTTGTGCCCTTTGGGAACAGAGACAATGGAATCACCAGCAAATATGTCCAGTCTGCAGCCAATAAATTATCACTTCAAAATCCAAAGAGGGTAGATTTGGAGTGTATATTTGGGTATGGTCAGTGCTTTGAACATGTTGACTTCATATCCAGGGATAGAAAAAAGATAATGTGTTATTCATAAATTCTACCTCCTTATGTTGTTTTTGTCCTCTTTGTTTGTATCACTGCTTTTGTCTCATTAACTGGGTTTGTGATAACGTAATTTTGTTTGTGCGTGTTTGTATTGTCCCATAGAGCAGACGTAGGCTTCCTGGCCCATATTGTTAAGTCTTACCATTCAACATATCAAATATTAACCCTCTCAAGGCAGGCGTTGCAGATTTGCAACACCTAAATGCTCATTACCTAATTACTCCACATCAATATATTTTTTTGCTTTTTTTAACTCAGAAGTACCACTGCAGAACTTGGTTGTGAATTAGCGCAAAAAAATCCCACTTGCTCACCACATGGCGGAGCTGTCTCATTTCCAACATGACTTCCTCCTTGGTGTCACTCAAACAGATTTTCTAGGTATCAACTTCATGTAAGTATTACTACTAAACTCAATTCTTCTGAAACCAAAGCTGTATGAAATGAATTATGAACATAAATAGATACAGTACATGCTAATTAGTAGATTGTATCTCCTCTGGGTTTTTCCCCAGGTGCAGCTATATTTCAACGTTGCAAATTTGCAACGTTTGGCCGGACAGGTACCAATAGATGCCACATGCTTTATCTACTAGTTTGCCTATATTTTGAGAAAGAGTTTATCCTAAGTTTATTTTCCTATCACTAGTGTCCACTTATTACTTATAGGTGCCATTGAGGATATATCCTATGGAAAATTAAATGATTTGGAGTGAAGTTACTAACTATCAGAGTCAGATTTTATCAAAAGCAATGGTATATTACGATGTTTATTTGACTGTGCAGTGAGGAAAACTGATGTAGCCTACATTCCATGGCACATATATTAGTACAGCTCTTTGTTTGACTGAAAGCTTTTCTTGGAACAGAATTCTCTCTTTGCAGGTGTGGTGCATAATGGCTGTCCAAAAAAGATTGTATTCAGTCAGGGAAGCCATTGAGATGGTCCACCTTCCGGATGGAGCTTTATCTGAAACAGAATCCATTTCAGACGATGACATTGCTGATCCAAATTTTGAGCCAACTCCTGAGTCTAACTCCAGCCGTGATGATGATGAGCCACTGGCAGCAATAGCAAGAGCTAATCCACGCCACCTTGATGTTGAAATTCATAACGTAAATGCAGACAGTGACACTGAGGCCCCAGATGACGATGAACCTCAACCAGGCCCAGCTCCAGTCAACAAAGTGTTTTCTTGGAGGCAGAGGAAACCTCCAGCAGCTGACATAGACTCTTCATTCAAAGAACCTGCATTCTCACCTCCACCGGACGAAATACAAAGTCCAAAGTGGTATTTTGATCAGTTCATGGACAAATCCGTGTTTGAACATATTTCTCATCAATCTAACCTGTATGCAGTTATGAAGAATGCCCCAGAACTGAAAACAACTCCTTCTGAAATGGAGCAATTCATTGGTTTACACATATTGATGACCGTAGTACGTATGCCGTC